TAGTTTTCATTGCAAAGTAGTTTTTCTTTCATTTCAATTTAATCCCCCCAACACAATCTTCGGTCTAAAAAGGTACGCAGAACTTTGCAGTGTCAGACATTTCAATTGTTATACCTTTAAAGGTTAGATTATAATTTTGAAGTCGTTGTTGGTATTGCCCAGAAAAGTCTACTACATAAATGTACTTGCAACTGGAGGTCATTTACCTGATATCACAGCTGTAATGTCACGGCAGTATAAGAAAAAACTGTACAGTCTTTCAGTATTTTTGTTAAGTCATGAAGAGAGGACAAGGATATCTCCTTAAGGACCTAACTCTACACCAAATGTCCATTTCTACTTAAAATTCATGATGGTTGGTGTATGTATCAACCCAGTCATTGCCGCTGCCCATGCCATCTTCCAAAGGGCACTACCGTTTGCCTGACATCACTGACATAATAGCTATTCTCAGCGATGAACCGCCACATACCACATACTTCTTGACTTATTCTCAGTACGTATTTTTGTGTAAAAAAAGGAAAGTTTTTATGATGGAAAACGACAAATTATTGAATTAAAATCATCATTAAATGAATTATATTTCGTTCGGTTTTGGAAATGTCCAGTTACACACCAAAACAAACGTGGGCAGCGACAGATAGACAATCTGTATGTGTTCATTAATAAATTATGTTAATCAACAATTCTCAATGTAATTAAATCTTTATCGGCGATTTTGCGCAAATCGCTAAGTTATTTTTGTTGAGAACATGCATGACCGCTCGTTGACTGCATTATCAAAAGAAGTGAACAGTGGTATTTAACACAAGCAGGACGGGAAAGTGTGGAAAGGTATTCAGTTGATACAGCTTTATAAACGGTAAGTCCAGGATCAGTTGGGAATTTTGATAGAAGGTCCCAAATATACCAGAGTTCCAACTAACATTTTTTGTGTTTTGTTTTATGATACCCGAGAACCTATAGAATCATTACTCATATAAAACCATTATAGTATTTCAATGGAGGAATTTAGAACTTTTACTTTTTATAACCACTGGAAAACAAAAATATCCTTTATGGAAAACCGTTATAAGTTGCAATATTTATAAAGACCAATTGACAAGCGCCTCATCTCTATATCATTTGTTAACAATATATTTTGCTTCCAGCCTTCGCCATGATGAGAGAAATTCATAAAAAATTGCAAAAATGTAAAATATCAATGCAATCATAACCTCACTTTTCAGTAGGTATTTATTTATTTGTTTTAAAAGAAGTGTGTATGTTTTCTTGCCGCCAGTAGTTACGTCATATTTGTTTTGGATTTTTTCTAGTCAAAACGTCAAAATTCTAGCCGTGCGGTAATATCCCGAAAATGTCCGAAGTGGTTCGGATCCGTACAAAAAAAGTTTTTTTTCTACTCCCGTCTGTAAAATACCTAATTGCACACCGATCTAGCGTGCGGGAAGCGTCACTTTACCACGTCAGTGTCGTCGTTTCCCAAAGACCCGAGCCAAAATAAATAAGAACAAAAAGTTCAGATTTTCACGGAATTATATATATTTATATGGCAATTGTTTCGACAACACCGTGTCTTTATCAATCTTTATTAAAACATTTGATAAAGACACGGTGTTGTCAAAACAATTCTCATGTAAAAATATATAATTTCGTGAAAATCCGAACTTTTAGTTCTTATTTATTTTGAAAAATTGATTTTCAACAAGTAAAAGCCACCTCAGTTCAAGGATCCGAGTCACTCCGGACATTTAAAGGATTTTACAGCACGGGTTTGGCAGCAATCGGATGTTTTCGGAGATATTTCCCACGCCTTGACTTTTGACGGGGATGTCACTGAATGTATTCGTGTTGTTCTGCGAAAATGTACCCAAAAACTAAGGGAAGTAGAAAAAGTACAACATGCAACACGTTCTGTAAACTTTTTAAATCACTTGTTTATTAAACACTCGCTCTCTTCTGTAAAATACCTAAATATACACCGATCTAGCGTGCGTTTATTAAACACTCGCTCCGCCGTGTTCCGCTGCGCTCCGCTTGTGCCAAATAAATTTGTGACTCAAATGCCACACTTTTATTAAATCTTTTTAAAAATCGTGTCATCACCAACTAACCAAATGCAATATTTCAAAAAGTATTTTGGTGTTTATTGGCTGTCTTATATTGGGGTACGTAAATCTGTAAAATCTGCTATAGAAGTTGATTTTTTATATGATCGCGTCATAAATATCACTTTGACATAAAACCTTGAGCTGCGAAAAATGTTATCCGGTTAGTTGCGTTAACCACGGGTTTTCCTTAAAATGATATTTGAACAAAGTGCCATTTTATAGACCAACTAATTTATGCAAACATTAAATCTAAAATATACAGGGTTGGTCAAAAATTACAGGTCGATTTCAAGTTCTTTTCATTTTCTAATCCTATTTTAAGGGTAATTCTATATCCTACATAATTAATTTGCCTTATTTCGTATCTCATCTAAATTTTAACCCGACTAAATTATGTGGTTTTTTCTTATTACTTATTTGGAGACCTCTAAAGCTATTCTATTGATCCCCTTCTACCAATTCATTCTATAAACTCTCTCTCAATTTTCCGTGCTAGCCATAGCCGCAGTCTTCTGTATGGTAAAACTACATTTACAAGTCACGCTCAATAACAATAAAACAAATAAATAAAAAGCAAAAAAATAAACAATTTAAAGCTAACCAAAACTAACGAACCAACAGATATTAGTGCAACTGCCAATGGTCTTATACTTTGCAGGAATTTCTCGAAAGTTTGTTCGTCAATAAGAAAAATTTATCTGTCCAGACAATTTTTTTGAGTTGCTGTTTTCTTGGGTAAGCCCCTAGTTGATCATGTTATCTGTACGAATGATTTTTAGACGGATCTGTAACATAAGTGTAAATCTTCCTCTGCACTTTCGATTAAGGCCTGGAGATAGGCTTTAGGATGTGCTACAGCATTTATTTTCGTCGCCTTCATTTGACGTTACAGGTGTATCTCTTTCCTTAATCGATAATTATAGAAATTATTATATTGGTATATTGGTTCTAAATCGAACTTGCTATAACTTGACCATATTTTCGAGAGGAAATAACCAAGTTCATCATTTTACTCCACCATGAACTTTGATAAACGCTTCTGCAGTGAATCTTGACAATTGATTTGTCGCATACAGGATGTCCAAAACTTAAATTAAGTTTCTCAAGTGCTGTGAAGAAGTTTTTAACGAACTGAAGAATCCGACGGTGCATAGCGTACATTACGTGACCTTTTCAAACTGCTGCGGTACAATTAAATTCTCTTAATTTATGGAGGCACAGATGGGAGTGTCACGTCCATGTGGTTTTGAGCAAGGCGTCACTCACAAGCCGGAAATGTCCGGCCGCGCATATTCCGGACCGTTGGCGAATGATAGATTGCGTTGCCGTCTAATGACCACCCGCTAAGACAATATTAAATCTTCTCGTCTGATGAATGAAGTGCCCCGCCGTCAGATAGTTCGTTTTACTTGCGCCGTACCTCAACCGGTATAAAGGAAACCTCGCACGCAGCGTACGCTTAAATAGGTGCACTAAAAATGTCCGTTTAAAGTCGGCAATTATTTTTATAGTGATAACATCAAAACAAAAGTGTTTAAGTATTAAAAACTAAAACATATTCGGTAATTTAACAAAAAAATTATTTTTCAAATGAATTTTTGGTCGATAATAATGGATGGTAATCATACATACATCAATACAATAAAACCTATTGCAAACAATACAAGGTGCCCATTAATGCGTGGAAATTTTGAAAAAAATCTTTAGAATTCATATTTAAAGAAACAGTTAATAGTTATCTAGTTTGATTGAAAATACCTAATAACGAAAGTAAATAATCAAAGTTTGTATTCTAACTAAACAAGGTAAGAAATTTGAATAAATAAATCTATAAAACAAGAAGTGAACTAAAAAGAGTTTTTTAATATGATACATAAAGTTTAGTTAAAAATGTTCCTCTTAAAATTCTCGTTTCATCTGGCATCGAAACAAAAAAAATATCAAAATATGCTTTGACATTTGTTTTTGTTGTGTTTCATGTCTCTGTATAGAGTATGGAGCATTATATCTTTAAAAGAAGTAGTATCCTGTCTTTGCTATTAAACGAATACCTAATAATGCCAACAAGTGACCCAATGTCGCCAACTTTAAATTCGACAAGAATTTATACGGGCGTTATCTTAAACCTCGAATATCTCAAAAAGTAAGTAAAATTTAAAGATAAATTTAACAACAAACTTAACTTATTTTTTGCCCTAGAATTGATATCTGAATAAAAATATGGTGTGTTCTATTTGAGATTTTTTAATTGAATTTGCCAAAACGGCACCACTTATTTGGGACACCCTATATAAGCCGAGGCACATCTGTCGAACTGATTGAGTAGGGCATCATCTCCTTAGCCTATGCTTAAATTTTGGTTGCAATACAGTGGCGTAACTACACAATTTTATATGGGGCAATCAAAATATGAATGAAACACATAACCTCAGTTTCTGTTTAAACTATGCAAAATTCGAATAAGAATTGGTTAAGAAAGTGACCTTGTTTAAAATAACAAAGTTCTTACCGTAGGCGGGGGACTTTTGGGGCACCCTGTATCAACAAAATTATAATATTTTAAATCTACAGAAGAATTCAGGAAACTTTTGTGCAGATCGTATAGTGGATCGTTTACTTTGGCACGCGGTGTACATATGTACTTTTACTTGTATGATGAAAAGTTTATCTAGACAAATGAGTTTATTGTTAAGGTCGTTTAGTTTCTTTCGTTTTTTATTACCTATATATTATTGTTTATTAGTTTTCTATTTTTATATAACATAGAGATATGTACGTGCCTACATTTTTTGTGCTTTTTTATAGCGTACTTCCGCTTATAGAGTGCTCATTTTTTGGTCCCTAAAGGGTACTTTATAACCGGAACTCACTGTATATTGTTTCCTTCAGTTTTCAGGATGGTACTGGTCTTCAATGGCGTTCTACAAGAAGACTGCCCGCCAGACAGCAGAGCGTTGTATTTGAATCACCCCGTCTACAGGGAGACAGCTGCTCAACTGTTATCAGTACCGAATAAAGTAATCGGCCCTGTCGGATTGCTCTATGTTTTACAGAGAGAGTTAGCGGCTACAGTGCCACACGACAGTAAGTTAAATATTAGATATAAACTGTTAATATTGACAGTGAATGAATTGTACAGTATAGTATAGTATAATTTTCGAATTAATATCTACATGTAAATAATTGCTGGCCGTGGAAGGGAATTGTAAATAACAATAATGTTTTCCAGAAAATGTCAGCATTCTTGGCTCAGATGATGTGACAACCTGCCTTATAGTAGTGGTGAGACATTCAGGTGAGTTCGAGTAGTTTTCTGAATTTAATATTCTTTCTAATTAGAAACATCTTAATTAATTTACTTAAACTGGCTCTTTAACCAGTTTTTTTATTTAGAGCTAGATTTTATGGTAGAGTTTTATTTCTTTCATATATTGTAACGTGTTGTAGATTATGGCTTTTAGCTTTGGCTACAGACAGTTATTTCCTCATTTATAGCTGATTCCGAGATGGCTAGGTAACCAGTAGAATACTATATCATAGGAGGCTCAAAGACTCAGACACTATTCCATATATTTTTGTACTCTGATTGATAGGGCAGTACAAAAGAGCTTGCGTATTGTTCGGCAAAAAATATTCCTTTGTAGACACCACTGATGCGCACTATGTCCTACTACTATCGCACTACCTACTCTGTTACCGATCTTAGTGCTGTCAGTGTAAATAATTTGTCTATCTGGGCATTCATATATAATATCCGTAAAGTTATTTATGAACACGCTTTCCGATGTTTTATTTTTGTCGAAATTCACTAGGTCTAATCTTAGTTTTATATTCGGTATCGTCCAGGGAGGAATTTCATTAGGGCCTTCTGGTAATATCATCGGTAAATCGATATTTATTTGTTTTAATAACTCTTTTCCACATTTCCTTCTGAAGAACAGGTGTATAACTTGGCTGTTCCGAATTTACTATTTTTGTCATATAATCAACTAATAAGCAACAAGCAATGTATTGCTATATTGCTTGTTAAAACTGATTTCCAGTCGATTACCAACAAACCAAAAGAGTCTAATTCTCATACACAGCACTTATACGGGAACACATAAATGTTTCCAACACTGTATGTTTAAAAAGCATCGTATTTTATCTTCCCAGCTTTGACAGTTTTGGATTTGTTACTTTTTATAAATAAATAACTTAAGTGGATGGTGAATGCGTGAGATATCTGTTTCATATTTTATGTACAGGGTGTGTTAAACCTAATGCTTCAACCTTTTTATTAATAATAATACATACCTAAACCAAATAGCTTTTCCAATATAGTTTTTATAAAAAATACTAGCGCCATATTTATATTATCGTTATTCGAAGATGGCGTCAAAGATTCGCGAAAGGGCGTTCAAAACGAAGTGGTATCATTATATATTATTATTTGTTCAGAAAGATCTTACAAAGATTTACAACTTTGATTAAGGGTCTCATATCCCCATTTCTAATTCCTTGCGATTTATTTTAAATTTTTCTAACAAAAAGAAAAGTAATAGCAATTCTTATTAAAAAAAAAAAACAACATTACCTACTATAAATAATTTTTAACAAAATTGTCTGTTAATAAATTAATGACGATCTTTTTGAAACAAAGTAAAACACAGAAGGATACACGCTTCAGCTTTTTATTTTAAGGAAAATCAGTGGCGTTCAATCATTTTTTCCAGAAATTGTTCGAACAGTTGCTATCAGTTTTCCTAAAAAATATATATGTTTTGGATTTTTAATATTCATCATCTTTATTCGGTGAGACCCAGCAATGTTTATGGAAAATGAGGCAGGTTGATCAAATGTTTGATAACATTTGATAAAGGCACGGTGTTGTCGAAAACGTCTCTTTGAAAAATTCGAAATAATCTGTTAAATAAAGTTTGTAGTAAGGATTGCACGTCGACTGAACTGTGGATATTTACTTTCTAGAAATTTCATTATGGACCCGCCATTGCTGGTAATCTGTATTCTTCTTAAATAATTTTCAGGATCAGGTGCCACATCATTGGCCCATTTGGACGGCTCTGGAACCGACGAAGCGGTGTGCACCATGATCCAGAAAGTGCAGGAGTTGGCTTTAGGATATCCCGAAGGACGGATAGAACTTCAGTTGGTCGGAGGTTTCACCGATCCTCACAGCTACTCCGAGGACCTCTTTTTTAATATAATGAGTAAGCGAGCTCTTCGTATGATGATTAAATATCTAATAACGGCCTTGCAACGCAGACTCGTTTCACAAGCACCCGGTGGAAGTCGATCTGACTTTGGCTTGCGTCGGCGAATTGAACACCACCATTCGTGGAGGCATCCATTGGCCCATAATTTACGGTGTTGGTATTAATACGAAGACGGGGGAAATTTTTCCAGCTACTTTTCCCGATAAAGGTCCGGAACAAGCTCTGCGATGCGCTCGTCATCTTACAGGAATACCCCAAGTGAGTTGGGGTAGAAGAAAGTCTTCTTTTGAGGTGGAAAACATCAATCGATGTAGTTATTTGATGTCGATAGCATTTCCGGTTTGAAAGGAAACGACGGTAACTTTTGAATGTTATTTGACACACCACATTTTTGTTAACAATTTTCAGCTTTGGTAAAAAAAAAGACAAACATAACTTTTTAACACAAATGACGTGAAATTTTTACTGGACAACTGGATTTTCCCTAAGCTAAAATAGTTGATTTGATGAACAGTTTGATGCTAGTGGGAGTAGTACTGAATATGAAAAACGGAATTTGGTAAAACGGAAAGCTGCCAATGAGGAAAAAGAATTAGAAATTTTAGTGCTACTAAATTGACCTATTTTAATTTGCATTCTTTATTTGTTATTCAAGTTTTTCTCCAGTTGTATGTAGTGATTGTGTATTTCAATCCTTAAAACACCCATGACTGAAGATTTGTAAGTTAGTAATAATAACAATAATATAAGTAAAAACACTTAAAAATCCACCGTCACCAAAAAAACAATGAAATAAAGAAACAGGTGTATTCCGTTTAAGATAAACTAGATCTTGCTTATTTGAATTAGCTGTGGCATTAATTTCTGGGTCCCGCAGGGCCTTGATTTCAATAAAATTGAAATTTAAAATTATTGTCGGGAATAAAAAAGGCACTATATAACTGTTTCTCGCTTTAAAAAATTAGAAAAATGTTTTTATTCAACATATATGACTTATTGTGTTTCGCTTATATATTTCATCTACTTGCTTAAAAATGTTATATACAAAAATTCTAGTTTTCGCGTTTGTAAAAAAAAATATTATTCTAAAATCACGTTAAGGGCATATTAAGCGGAATTTGACTAAGTTGCTACAGAGCGTTCAAAATAAGCCGATATATTTGGATCATTTTAAATAGAAAAATTTCTGTTTTCTTGAATGGCACACAATATATATTATTTTCTGTAGAACCTTAGGAAATGAAACTACAACATTCATTAAGTATATCATATATTATTAATACTTTCCAGTTTATTTTTATTATATTATTATTGTTATTATTATATATTAACATTACTTGATCATGACAAAATGACATTGTTAAACTTCTACCTAGCAACTGAGTAAATAAATTCATAAAATTCATAATTCACTAATAGACAATCTCTTCAGCGTTTAGTGAAACGGTTTGATGTTAATGGTGGTATTGAATATGAAAAAAGGAAAGCGGTCTGTAGCCAGCTTATTTGACACACCTCAATCTAGAAAACACAAATGTCATTCCTTCCATATGGAACTACACCAAGAACTTGTAGACCATAATTTTGATACACCTCAATCTAGAAAATACAAATGTCAGTCCTTCCATATGGAACTACACCAAGAACTTGTAGACCACAACTTTGATACACCTCAATCTAGAAAACACAAATGTCATTCCTTCCATATGGAACTACACCAAGAACTTGTAGACCATAATTTCGGTATACCTCAATTTAGAAAACACTCATAATATTCCTTCAATATGGAACTACACCAAGAACTTCCAGACCATAATATTGATACACCTTAACCGAGAAAACACAAATATCATTCCTTCCATATGGAACTACACCAAGAAATTGTAGGCCATAATTTTGGTACACCTCAATCTAGAAAACACAAACATAATGCCTTCCATATGGAACTACACCAAGAACTTGTAGGCCATAATTTTGGTACACCTCAATCTAGAAAACACAAACATAATGCCTTCCATATGGAACTACACCAAGAACTTATAGACCATAATTTTGATACACCTCAATTTAGAAAAGACTAATAATATTCCTTCAATATGGAACTACACCAAGAACTTCCAGATCATAATATTGATACACCTTAATCTAGAAAACACAAATATCATTCCTTCCATATGGAACCACGCCAAGAACTTCTAGACCATAATTTGGATACACCTCAATTTAGAAAACACAAATATCGTTCCTTCCATATGGAACTACAATAAGAGCTTCCAGACCATAATTTTGGAAAGGGTAAACTTTTGCCCACTATAACCACTATAAACTAGGAAGATGATTTATCGTTAACGTTGACTGAACCTCCAGGTTTTGGACATATATGACTGCGGGTTGGGGCTCCTGCGAATAATTCCTTTCAATTACGAACCGTTAAGAGGGGTTGATCTATGGCTCGAGCAGACTGATGAACTTATCCTGCAACAACTCTCCACGTGCCCAGAGGTACAACCCCCACATTTCGTAATGCAGGTAAGAAGGCATACTTATACTTATAAAATGAAAACACAAACGGCAACAACAACATTCTCCTCAAAATATGAAGAAATAATTTTAAAATTAGATTTTTTATATACATTTACCGACATTGTTTTGATTCCGTATGTTTCTTATTCCAGTTATTTAAAAAGTTTCTCAAGGTACGTGTGCGTAAATGTCTGTGAGTAAAGCTATAATTCTAAAATTTTTGGCTACACGGCTGCTAAGGAGTTTCCAGTTAGTCAGAAAGTGGCCCTTAACATCCTTCTTCTTACTTCTTCTGTACTATCAGTTTCTCCAGGTTGTCGCCATCTCGTCTTGTAGTGTGTCCCAAGTATTTAAGATTCGCCGGCGACATACTGTGGACAGTCTGTCTTTGATCTTGATCTTCAGTTCCCTTAGTATCTCAATCCATTAAATCTGTAGCATACGTCGCGCAACACCACATCTCAAAGGCGCCGTCTTTCGTATGTCTGATGTTTTCATAGTCCAGGATTCCGTTCAATACAGAAAGAATGAGAATCCAAAGGACTTAACCAGCATGATTTTCGTGTTTCTTGTGATGTGTCGATCCTTCCATATCCTGGTGAGGTTGCTCATGGCTCCTCGTGCCATTGCCATCGTCTTTTTATTTCCTTTTTGGACTTTCACTTTCCACTCTGTTCAACATCGGATTGGATTATTCTTAGGAGAATCGACTTGCCAGATTTTGTTGCAAATGTCCAATAGTATGTCTATCCCCGGTTCCTTCAGTATCTTTAGTATTTCGGCATTTATGTGATCTTCTCCTGATGACTTATTTGTCTTGAGTTGTTCTATGGTTTCTATCACCTCAGCCTTTAATATATTCGGCTCTGTTTTCTCTTCCTCGTATTGTTCTGAATATTTTCCTGCTAGATCTCGATTGTCACCGTAAAGTTCTTCGCAGTAATGTTTCCATCTATTCAGAAATTTTTCTGTCTCCCACAATGTAGTTCAGCTTTTATTCTCTATGTTTTAGGTTTAAATTTTCTGGACAGTAAATTCACTTTCTGGAAAAGATCACTCGTTTGCTTGGTATTCTTGTGCTCTTCAATCTCTTCGCAACTTCCTTACTTCAAATGAATCTCTATTGTATTATGCATTTTTGAGAGAATGTCTGGCTACGATTCATTCTCTGTTTTAGCTGCATAAGTTGGCTTGAGCATATAAATACCAAGGCGAATTTCACTTCACTCATTCAGACCTCCGTCTTATACTTGCCCAACTCCTACTGTCAGTAGGAGTACCTTTAAGAATGTAATTTACCCAGAGCTCTATGCATTATCAAGCAGATCGTGGCACTATCTTGACTGAGCATTTTGAAAATTTTGGAAAATTTAGAAATTGTGACTTTTAATTATACTTTAGATTCTAAAAAAATCTCTCTTCCTCTGTTCCTAAAGCAGATGTTTGATCTAAAGCTGTATTTGGATTAATCGTGAACAAAATTTCAATTTCTTCCACAGTTTATGCTTACAGGCACATACATAAATAATATAATGATAATTTGGCATACGTATTAATTTATGTATTAATATGTAAGTACTAATAAAGTTTCGGTTACTTCACAATGTATATAGGACATGAAGGTGAAGGTACAAAAACGTTTTTTTTATTTTAAATCGAATGCATGTATACATAGAGAGTACGTTCCAAGAGAAAATATTCTTTATTTCCTTCCAATTTGTATATATACCAAACAAAAAACTAAAGTTTATGTTGTTTTAAGCTAATGAAGTCAATTTTCTAAGTGACGCTACAATGCTACATGCTGCAATGTTGCCACGTTTTGCGTGTGCTGCGAAAAGAACTGATTGATTGGTACATTTAGTAAATTAACGCTCAAAATGAACCGGGGGTGCCAATGCAAAAATATGAATTTAAATAACCAATACCTCACTTGTTGTAAACAGAACAAACACCATATAATCCTTTACTTTTTCGGATATTCAAGTTCCTTATTTTTTCTTTTTTTCAATAACAATTAATTTGGAAAATATTGTTTAGTTCTTGCGGTATTTTAATTGTTAAATTAACCGCGGGTTCCAATGCAAAATAAATTATATGAATTTCAATCACCAATATCTCACTTATTGTAAATAGAATAGAACACCATATAATCTTTTATTTTTTCGGATATTTAAATTTCCTTTTTTTTTCTTTTTTCCAATAAAAATTATTTTGGAAAATATTCTTTAGTTCCTGTGGTATTTTAAAATTTAAATAACCAATCATTTCATATTTAAATTTCTTTTTTTTTTAAATATATATTTTTATTTGTTTTGTCTAACCCTACACTAAACTCTTTCTATCTAGAATCATTTTTTTGAAAATTGAAAATTTGACTAGTTTTAATTTGCCAAATTTTATTTCTTAATTCTTTCACCAGTTGTTTGTTGTATTTAATACAACACTATATTGGACTTTTCAAATCTGGACTTGTAAGGGTGTTTTTTTTTTCGATGTATAGAACTTAAGTTGCAATAAAACAACGATGGATTATTCGATTGACATGAATTTTATTTATCCGAAAGATAATCTTGTGGCAATACATTTTAAATATGATTTCTGGCATATGACCCCACGGCTGGCGCGGATGTGGTCCAATCTGGACGTCCAATTTTCGATGACTTTTTCCAACATTTGTGACCGTATATCGGCAATAACACCTCGAATGTTGTCGTCCAAATGGTCAACCCTTTGTGACTTATCCGCATAGACCAATGACTTTACATAGCCCCACGGAAAGTAGTCTTCTTCTTCTTCTTAAAGTGCCGGTCCTCTGCGGACGTTGGCTATCACGTTGGTCCATATTACTTTGTTTACTGCGGATCTAAATAGGGCTGTTGATGTCATTCCAGTCCATGCACGTAGGTTCCGCAGCCACGATATTTGTCTGCGTCCTGCCGATCGTCGACCCTCTATTTTCCCCTGTAAGATGAGTTGGAGTAGGTGGTATTTCTCATTGCGCATAATGTGTCCAAAGTATTCCAGTTTTCTGCGTTCTGTCGACCGTAGGAAAATCTGTCGATCTTTCGATGCACTTCTCGGTATTTTTCCGTATCCCTGTTTCTATATTGTCTCCTTTCTTCCATTAGTTCCAGTATAGCATCCGTCATCCATTCCTGTCTCTTCGCCTGTTTATTCTGCCTCAGCTCTTCTTCCGTGACGGAGACTATGGATGTTTTTATTCTATTCCAAAGGTCTTCTATTTCTGTTCCGTGATTGCTTGTTTGTGAGATATTGCCTAGTTCGTTGTTAATTTTATCTCTGGTTCGCTGTAGTATGTTTTCTTGTTGGAGTTTCCGTACGTTAATGCATCTTGAGTGCCTTTTTTTGACGATTTTCTTTAATCGGAGTTTAGTGCGTGCCAACAACAGATTGTGATCTGACGGTATGTCTGCGCCTGGGTAGGTTTTACAGGATACAACTGCGTTGCGATATCTTCGGTTTATCATTATAAAGTCAATTTGGTTTCTTATGATTCTGTGGCTGCTATCCCCTGGGGATTTCCAGGTGTACAGTCTTCTCGAGGGCAGTTTGAAAAAAGGTATTCATAATAGTAAAGTTCATTTCCTCGCAGAATTAAGCGTTCTCCCCTCTCATTTCTCACCCCCAGCCCGAATTCGCCTACCACATCCTCAACCTTTCCTTGCCCAACCTTATTATTAACCTTAATATTAACTTCTTCTCTCCTCGTATGTTTGAGGGCAGTTCTAAGCTGTTCGTAGAATTCTTCCATCTCTTGTTCACTGTTCTCGGTCGTAGGTGCGTATGACTGTATGATATTCAAATCGAATGGTTTTGATTTGATTTTTATCAGTGCAACTCTGCTCGAGATGGGGATAAATCCTTTTACAGCTTCGTTGGTTTGCTTGTTCAGGATTATTGCTACTCCGTTTCTATTTCTGGTAGTATGGTCTCCGGAGAAATATATATGGTGTTCGTCTATAGTGCAGTGTCCCGAGTCCGGCCATCGTGTCTCACTGCACCCCAGTATGTCGATTTGTAGCCGTTTCACCTTTTTCACTATATTTGCCGCCTTCCCAGCCTGGTACATGCTCTGCACATTCCATGTGCCAATTCTCTTCTCTTTGTTTATTCTTAGGACATCATTCGAAAACCGGGGGATTCTTCGCACCCTCTCCCCACTTAAGGGGTGCCCGGGACTGAGGGCCGTTGCTTGTTTTTGTATATCCATTGTGATGTCTTGGGGAATATATATGATCCAGGTAGTTTCCCGTTGCTTTTCTGGATTTTTTTATCAGCCGCCCCTAACATGGGGAACAGACGCTGTTCTGGCTGGCTACCCTCACTTGGTTTAGTCTGTGGGTCAACACAGTGTGCCGGGGTGTGGCGCTTGGAGCCAACAAGTGAGAGTTGGGTGTCTCGTGAGGACCAGTTGTCTGAGACCTCCGCCCGTCTTACGACGCTTGAAGTGACCGTCCCCAACAAAAGGTACTACCTCTCCGACATAACCCCTACACACCAAGTAGTCTAGCAGTGTTAAATCACAAGATCTTGGATACCAATTCACAAAACGTGAAATTAGGCGGTCACCAAACGTGCCTTTCAACAAATCGATTGTGGCACGAGCTGTGTGACATGTTGCGCCGCCTTGTTGAAACCACATCTCTTGGACATCATGGTTATTCAATTCAGGAATAAAATAGTTAGTAATCATAGCTCTATACCGATCACCATTGACTGTAACGTTCTGGCCATCATCGTTTTTGAAGAAGTACCGACCAATGATGCCATCAGCCTATAAAGCGCACCAAACAGTCAGTTTTTCTGGATGTAACGGTGTTTCGACATACACTTGAGGATTAGCTTCGCTCCAAATGAGGCAGTTTTGTTTGTTGATGTAGCCATTCAACCAGAAGTGCGCTTCATCGCTAAACAAAATTCGCTTATGAAAATCGGGAACAACGGCAATCTCGTTTTGGGCCCATTCGACTAATCTACGCCTTACTTGATGATCGTTTGGCTTCAATTCTTGCACGAGTTGGATTTTGTAAGCACGTAAACCAAGATCCTCTCGCAAAATCTTCCATAAAGTGGATGGACACAGATCCAATTCCTGTGCTCGATGGCGGATGGACTCATTCGGGTCTTCCTCAATGCTACGCTTTACAGCAGCAATAGCTTCTTCTGTACGCACCGTACGGAATTAAAAACGGCACTCTTATAACTGTTTCTCGTTTAAAAAATGTACCAAAAATATATATATTGGCCCTATATGACTTATTATGTTTGTTTTATATATTTTATCTACTTGCTTAAAAGTTTTATAATGTTAATAACAAAATAACATTAAAGATCTTTTGAGAAGCTAAAACTCAAAAATCAAAAATCCAATAGAATGGATACTGAAGAAGTTTTCGAAAAATTGAGATATGTTTTTTTTTAGATAAGAGCGGCTTTAAAATATATTCAAGAAAATCAGTTTCCGGCGATTACAGTGTTCAGGGACAACAGGCCACACTATTTCAGGAGAGACGAACATTCGGGGACATGGATTCCCGTGACCCCGGTGCGATATTAGTATAATTTGTAAAGTGATTTCTTTGTTGTATTTGGAATAAATTTACAATTCTGTTTTGTACATACATTGTTTTTATAAATATATCCCTTCGCTTTAGTAACTTGAAAGTGTTGCTTAGTATTTTTTTTAAAAGAAACGGTCGACCGTATTTCTGTTCACAAATCTTCTGCATTCCTCCCGCTCTGACGATTCAGTTAAGCTCCGAAGATTCCAACAGGATGATTGGAGAAACGTGAGCAAGTTCGATTCATCAACAACCGACGCTGGAGTGATCCATAAGACTTTTAAATATCTATTGGTCGTAATTTTCTTGTGAAGAATTTATTTAAGTGAATGGTCCAATATTCCAATGCAGTGGCGGATTTAGCTCTCCTGCCGCCCTAGGCCTTGTCTGTCTTTATTGTTAAACAATAGAAATAAGTATTTCATAAGTGTTAACAAAATAAATAATAATCATTTCTCTTAAACTATAACGTATGGATCAATGGATAAATATTTTCCTTCTGGCTTTTGTCCGTGCAAAAACATCAATTATTTCGTCGTAATCAATTTCTTGAACTACCCAGCTGACAAGATCAAGTCGTATAGTCGTCGATAATTGGTAATTACAAGTCATTGGCGTCGGTGTTATCGTCATTTTTCGGTATATATAGTAGCAGGTAGTTTGTAAATATTACATTTGATAAAGAGTCGGTGTTGTCGAAACAATTGTCATGTATAATATATAATTTCGTGAAAATCTGAACTTTTAGTTCTTATTTATTTCAGTTCAGTAATTAGAATTTTTGAAAATATTCATAGCATTCCATTAAAAAAAAGTTGCTTACGGTCCTGGCACAACGGCACATACAATAAACAAAATATTTAGTTAATGCCGACTTTTTGCATTTAATTTTTTTTCCTTAGTGTGCTACTTATTACAAAATGAGTTTTTATTTAATTTTGATAAGGATTTCTATATCTCCAAAATGGGCCTCGCGTACTTATGAAAATGAAATTCAAGTATTACTAGAGACTGCGTCGTATTGTTAATTCCCAATTAATATTCGTACACCTGAAACCATTATATTTTTCTTAATTCACTTTTATGAACAAACCCCTCGACACATTCCATCTAAAACTAAAATTATGGAAACGCTAGGTGCATTGAACAATGGCTATGACCCGTCACTGATAGATAAAATCTTAACTAAGAAACAATTTCAAAAAACTTTGAACTCTATATATCCCCGCTATATTACTGAATCTCAAGGTTTTAAAACATTAACATACATAGGAGAACCTAGCAATAAAGTTTCGATCATCTCTCGAAATGTGGCCTCAAAATTGCTTTTAAAACTAATAACACCGTAGGAAAATTTGTTAAAAACAGTAAATCTAAATCTAATAGATCCCAGAATTCTGGAGTCTATAGATTAACTTGAGGATCATGTTCTAAGATTTATATTGGACAAACAGGTTGTGGTGTATTTGGCAACACCGCGGGCAGACCAAAAAGTTAGTCTCAGCCGGTGTGTCCAAGAGGCAACAACGTTTTCACGTGCGGTACCGTGGTCAAATAAAGAACCTTTATTTTTGTGATATTAAAGTGGAAGTAATTAACTTTACTGTTTTCTTTCGAAAACCCAGTCCGTCGACATATCACAGGTAGATCTTTCAAAAACGTATCAACGAACATCGACGATCATTTAAGAACAATAGTTCAGATTCTAATTACGCTATACATTTAAATTTAGAAAAACACAATTTTGACGACAATTTCGATATTTTACACACTGTTTCAAAAAGTAGAAAATTAAATTTACTAGAAGCTATGGAGATTAATGAGATGAGAGGTTCGAATGTATTACTTAATGACCAACTGGATTAGAATGGGTCCCCCTTGTTAAATCTCAATGTAATACCTCACATTAAGTAATTACTACCTGTTTTGGATTTATAAACGTCGGTACCGTTTGATGTTCGCATTTGATAAAGGCACGGTGTTGCCGAAACAGCTGTCATTTTAATATATTTATGTGAAAATCTGAACAACGTTGGTTCTTATTTAACTATTTTAAATGGATTTTCATCAAGTAAAAGCCACGTCAGTACAAACGCTAGGTCCATGATACTTTTGTTATATGGCTTCGTGGTCAAGAATTCTTATTATACTATTATTTAATTTTATTTGTATGCGTATTATGAAATGAAAAACTTAGAAGACATGTCAATTTTTGATTGGTTGGAACAGTTCTGTGGCCCGTCTTTTTTATGGAGTTTTATGCAGAATAAGATCAAGATCATTATATTATAATAATATACAAAAATTTTAGTGACCTAGTCATATAAAATAATATTAAATACTCAAGAGATTAACAGGGAAATTATAAGACAAATAAAATATGCGAAGGCTTGAATCATGTTGTGAGGAGACTAAACAGTTGGGAAGAATCATAAAATTGAACTGAGGAGGCTTTTACTTGATGAAAATCCATTTATCAAAATAAATAAGAACTAAAAGTTCAGATTTTCACGAAATTATATATTTTTAAATGATAATTGTTTCGACTTCTTTATCAAAATATTTTGAAAATCTGAACTTTTATTCTGAGAATCATAAAACGTTGAACCACCTTGAAGCAGACATATTGGATCCCTGAATGATAAATTTGAAGATAGCTGCAGCGGATAGGAAAACAATTAAGATGCGAAAGTGATTTTTATACTTTTTTGAAACTAGTAGCGTCATCTACCATGAAGTAGTTGATTTAGCTGACCTAACCAATATGAAGTTCATTAAGAGTGTAAAACGTGAAACATTCAATTTGTTAGAACCAGCAACAGTGTTTATTTGGAAACAGTCCAAATGATTCTTTGATTGTAAGCACACGCAAACACAGATTTTCAAGAATGACACAAGACGGCAAATTAAACATAGCAATAAGGATCACGAAGAAGAAAATAAACTTCCGATTCTTAAAGACCAGAAGATTGGCTTGAATCCGTCGTTATTACCTTGCCCGAGAAAATCAGGGCCCACAATTGCGAGGACTTTAGACTCTACTTCGAACTAGCCGCGGTTTCGTTAACCATCGTGTTGGTTTCTTCGGAGCTTACTAGAAACGTCAGATCGATTCATAAACAGACGCAAGAAGAATCCAGAAGATATGTAAACAGAAGTACAGTGCCCTGTGGAAGTTTCTTTGAAAAATTGACAGTCAAGTCGGCCCAACATTAAAGCATGATTACGGTAAGAGAGTTTTTGAAAGTTATTTCTGAGTTTTAAACAAACAAAATCAAAAAAGTGTACGATCGTTCCTATTCTATTCAATCTATAGTCTATTATGACCGCACATCTTCACTCACTCAACTAGAAGAGCTCTGTACTCTCGAGGAAAAGTACTGTACACTTTAATGGGGTTTCATTGAGCACTCTTCTAAAGTCAAATGGGGGTGCCTATTTACAAGGCAATGTCCTATTAGGAGTTTTACTAGCATTGGTTATCAATTTTCATCATTGTTGCAGTCATCTTGATCTCCATGCTCGACTGCACACAGCGACAGCAAAACAAACAAAACATTCTGTGACTTTTATTTAAGAAACAAAACTTTTACTGAACAGAATGTTATTATTTTATAATATAAAAAAATATCCATCAATAGCAAAAAAGTGGTTTACAACATTATATACATTATCACAATTTTAAAGTTCTTTTTGCTTGTGCAGGCGTATACAGTTTCACGGCAATTATCCACGCTACTGATCCACTGTTTCTGAGCAATTTTCCGAAGGGCATCCCATTACATATTGGTTGTTGTCTTGGGCGACCCTCATTTAACATTCGCTGTCCGAAATTACAATCACCTGAAGCAAACATAAAAATGTATTAAAAATAAAGTGAAAACTTTCAAAAATTTTGCATGTGGTATGCATTTAAGGATAGAAGTGCAGCTCCGCCTAGATTGGTAGTGTAATTCGACATTCTGCTTGAAAAATACTGATAATTGCTTTAAATTGCTCTTAATGGCCATAATTTTAAAACATAAACGCTTCCAAAATACATCACACAAAATTGAAGTAGTATATCTAACGGGGTTCTGAGTCAAATTCTGCTCCTGATGAATACAGGCTATAAAGTTCCATTGGCTGAAGAAGTAGAAATTATCAACCCCAGTGGGTGAAACATTAGTGGAGGCGTAACAAGATTTTTTGGACGAAGTTGTCAAAACCAAGGTAACCTTATTTGGGCACTGTTTATGTTCTCGCACATTTTCGTCTTGGTTTCAAAACATTGAGCAACAAGGACATTTTTGCCGTATGATTTTCATAACAGTCAAACGCATTGATTTAGTTCTAAGTACATTTTATTACATTTAAACAAATTAACATTACAACATTTAGAATACAAATTGTTCAATTGAAATCCCAATTATTGATACTTTTCTTTCTTCCTTTCAACATGTTAGATTATAAATTTCAAGTGTGTATTATAATTTGATTAACAATGCTTTATATTTTACAGATTTTATAACATTCTGGACATATTCATTTTCATATCAATCATCAAACGAATTTGTTTTTCGTAAGGATGATTCAAATCCGTTGCCTTTTATTTTGTTACTTACTGGCAGTGCTTCTTTTGAAGATCCATCATTTTGAGATCTTGAACTCAAACCTATAAATATTACAATTACAAGTTTTTATTATTGCTATTAAAATCATAAAACATTAAAAATATTGATCGATCTAAATTCTCACTGTTCACTTTGCCATGAATTGCTGATCCAAATTCGAACATTGCAATTTCTTTCTTACTATGTATATATGCATTACTTACCTGATTTACGTCAGCTCTCTCAATAAACCCGTTCTAATCTTATTAAGTCACGCTAGGTTGAACTGAGGAGGCTTTTACTCGATGAAAATCCATTTAACAAAATAAATAAGAACTAAACGTTCAGATTTTCACGAAATTATATATTTTTATATGACAATTGTTTCGACAACACCGTGTCTTTATCAAAATATTTTGAAAATCTGAACTTTTATTTTGAGAATCATAAAACGTTTAACCACCCTGACGCAGACATATTGGATCCCTGAATGATAAATATGAAGATAGCTGCAGTGGATAGGAAAACAATTAAGTTGCGAAAGTGATTTTTATACTTTTTTGAAACTAGTAGCGTCATCTACCATGAAGTAGTTGATTTAGCTGACCTAACCAATATGAAGTCCATTAAGCAAGTATTATAGTCCTAGTTTTGTCTTTGGCAAACGTGAAATAGCAATATATATGCGCGAAATCATCTAATTTTTGCAGTAGTAATTTTCATTGTGGTCTTCAAGCCTTGTTACAATTGTTACGTACTTCCGGCGACTGTTTACGCTCTTATTCGCCTAATGGTAGAAGTGGATGGAATGTGTTCCATTTAACTCAGAACCTCTTACTTATTTTATCGACCAACTTTGCTAACATTGAAGTCTCTAATTTTATCTTTTTTCAAACTAATTAAATATTTAAATCTAACAAAAATAGTTAATCAAGAGCCCAAAGAAAATCAACGCAATAACACAATCGCAATAACGGACGGCCTTCTTACCTCATTCTTTTCATCCCTTCGGTCTCTAAATGTGAGGCAACCATATTTTCCTATACTTATACCCAGTTTTTTCTCTAGATCTTCAAGGCCCCAATATTCGTCCTCACTGTAAGCTTCCTCTTCTGAATTGTCGTCGGTCTCCATTTCATCAAAGCCGCTGCTCTTGTCGGCTTCATCTTCATCGTCGTCCAATACTATTATTGGAGTTCGATCTTCTGCCGACTCGGTTTTACATCGACGAACAGAGCTTTCGTTATCCGAAGATGTTGGAACCATTTCTTTCGCGATGTCATTGCTTGCTCCACTTTCATTATTTAATGATATTCTGTAAATAAGAAAATACTTAAAAATTTTCGTTCCCTTTATGGCATTTCCGTGTTAACATTTCTTCTCTCTTTGCACAAAAATTACCTTAGAAGTATCTTGGGCCTTTCAGTTTCTACATCATTAGCAGTTATTGGCCTTTGTTTTCCATACAGGAATCTGTAAATCTTCTTATCCAACTTTTGAACCATCCCTTGATTCTTGACTAACGTTTTTACGCGCCTTTTCATTGATTGCCAAAGACTACGGAGTTCAGCTTCATTACCAAAAAAACCGTATTCCCTGCAACCAAGCAATATTTCACTACTCATAGGCGAGATGATTGATGTTTACTTATTTAACACGATCGAGCGATAGGGATAACAATAGGATTTTTTTTATTGAGATATTTTAAGGTCTCGTTTTTTTTATTACAATAATTAAACCCGGACCTAATGTACCGCTATAGGTGGGAGTAAACTTTTAGCACTTATGTAAATGTGACTGGGAAACGATAGAGATTGATCTGTGAATCAATCGAAAGTGCTTTGGTTCTGGTGACTCACGATTCGGCCATTTGAAAAGCTTTTTGAAAAGTCAAATTCAATTTTTTTTATTCAATTTGTCTTGATGGAATTATATTATGACAAGATTTGTCTAAGATAATTGACGCCGCATGGAGAAGCAACCTTTGGAACTTATCCAGGATGGACAGAAATCAACTTAAGAATTTTGCGGAATGTTAAATTCGTATCGGTAAATATATAGTTAACAATTCATTTGTAATCGAAGGGTGTTGGGGTGATTTTTATCGTATGTCCTTTTATATCTTTGTCTTTGTAATTGTCACGAAAATCGTATAAAAGAAATCTAAAACCCGGCGTATTATATCTTTTCATTTTTAGGACGACTATGTTATCATCGAATGTTGAAAATGTACGAGGATTTAGTTAGTTTTGGATAGTTACCGCTTAACTTAATGCAAAGTTTTTCCAAAAACGGAAATGACCATTTTTTTTCAAAATCGCTTTTACTTGGTCGCCTGATTGAATTTTAACATTTTAAGAATTTTGATTAATCGTTCTATATGTTTTGGATCTTTTTAATGAGACATAATTTTTTTAACAAATTTTGCAGTTAGTAATTTTGGCATTTTTTATTTGCTCGTAGGTGGTTCTAAACGTTTAAGACAAAGTATTTTCGGATATTCTAGATTTACTTCGATTTTCCTCATCATAAATTTCGCAATTATCGACCCACCTAAACCCGCCCGTTGGGAGCGGTTCTTTCCCGGTAATTCCGAATGGATTGTTTACGTTACAAACTATCTATGATTTTAGATGTTTTCTTACATAAATGTTTCGAAATACAACTAGATATTCTTCTAAATTTTGAATTTTAAATGTGGTCAAACATTAGCAACCGCAACGATAACTATAACTATATATATAACTAACCAAGCATGTAGACATTATTCATAAGTTTCCGCCGTAATACCGGCTTTTCAAAGTTTACTGTAAAGACTGTTTGATGACGAGAACTCGAATGTTATTTTTGATTTTGATTTTAACGACGATACCAGGAAAGTACGAACTTGGAAAGCGCGTTTAAGAAGGTTGCTTTAAATTTCACTTAGCATCTGACAAGCAGATTTCGAATCGTAATTATCGATCATCTTCGAAACCCGATTCAGAAACGCAGCAGCCTTGTTGCCTAAACGAAAAACACGACACTCCGACATCGGGTCTGAGTGCGAAATGAGGTGAAGAGTGCAGACTAACTCCGACAGAGAAATGACAACGACGATGTAAAGAAGACGAACGTAATTTTTTTGTTGAACCGTTTCAACTTATCAGTTTTCGTTAATAGAATCCGTTGATTAGACAGGGCGTCTCACAACTGCATCTTGCATCGAAATTATTGCGCAAGGCTATTTACATCAACCCAATTTTTGTGTTTGTAATTGAAGCGTAGCCACGTATTCGCTTAACAATTTGTTCGGCCAGATAAACATCCCATCGTAATGTCCATCCAGCAATTCGGCTGGTATCTTCTCTCGAACTTCCCCATGTCAGCACCGATTTTAAATTTCGTATTGAGATAAGTAGGTATACGGTCTAGAATATTTTTTTGTAGCGTTTTTCATAACATCGCCCGGTCTCATTTCAATTACGCCATTTCTTTTATGGTTGTATTTTTATTTATAGTTTCACGGTTAATTCAACTCTTTCCACCATAGCTGCTCTTCTCTTGCTACGCACCTTATACTGATCCAAATTTTTGCCGGTACGGCCCAAACGATTGATTGATATAACCGTTGTGTTTCGCGTACGTAATGTCTGCTTGATATAAAACGTACGAGGATTTTATTACAGTTTTCCTAAGGTTAAAGTTTATACTCGGCTTTCATGTAATTCTTCGATTGTCGTACTGATCTCGTATGGCCCGCAGAATAACAGGACACGAGTAAACGCAATCGATAGACTAATTCGTTTGGATCGTTCCAATATATGTATTTATTTATTTTGCTCATTAAACAAACTACTTTTAAGAAAAGCAATTCGTATAAACGTCGGGCACCTTTGTATCGTTGCATTGAATATAAATATCCGATCATAATATAATAATTTTCGAATTACCGATACAAAATAGTCCAGATTTAAATTTATTGTATAACCGTACGCTGCCTATTATGTTCCAAATATTCGATAAGTTACCTTTGATCGAATATTTGGAACATAATAAGCCGTTATCTATATCTCTTATTTCTTAATCAATATTCACATCACTATTATCCTCGACATCTAGATTGACTTCGTGAATATTCAATTATTTTATATCTAAAGGTGAATACGACACTTGCTTTCTTATCCGCTATCGCGCTATCGGATCGTTTTGACGATGCAATTTCATTCTTTTCCTCAATTTCGGTAATTTATAATGATCATATTTGACGTCATCATTTCCTACTACCGGTAAAGTAAAAGTACACATTGCGAGAAACAACGATATATATACCTGTCCACTTCCTCCGTTTCCCCTTTTTTTCTCACAAATATTATTCATAATCATTGCATTTATAGTTTTCGTCTTAATTATTATCGACAATAGTTGCCAACGGAATATCGCAAGAGTATCCGTCGCCTATCAAACCGGTCAGAATACAAACTTTGTTACAAGCGTCAAAAAATATTATGTTCTGCGAGTTTGAAAAAATGGATGCGGATAGTTTACAAAAATTATATTTTCTACTCCCTTATGTAAAATACCCAATTATACATATACGTGCGGAAAGTGTAATTTAAGTGAATGTACTCGTGTTGTTTTGCAAAAATGTACCTAAAAACTAACAGTCGTAGAAAATAGTATACTATGCAACAAGTGCGGTAAACGACATTTGACACGAGCGTTGCGAGTGATTTAAAAACTTAATCAAACGTGTTGCATACTTTACTTGTTCTACTACCGTTAGTTTTTGGGTATATTTTTGCACATCAATACGATTACATTCACTGACAGAATTGACAAACGTGAAAATTCAAGCTGTGCGGTAAAATCTCCGAATACATCCGATTGCTCCCGAACCCGTGCGGTAATATCCCGCAAATGTCCGAAGCGGCTCGCGTGGTAAAGTGACGTTTTCCGCACGTATAATACATACTATAGAATATATCATGAACGGTAGTATTTAGCGAATTGGATGAGTGTCATTTGGTCTGAAATTTTTCCCATTAATGTACCTAAGAATACTTAAACTTATACACGACCTGACGCCAACTTTTCCCCAGTTTGAGGAAATTTACTATCACACAATCGCGATTGAAATTTACACCGTTTAAGTTAAACTAGGCCGCTACGTTGCCGAACCGAATTTTTCCCTAAATGTGGGGAGAAATTTAACTGCAAATATAATTTGCACTGCAATTACTGAATTTTGTTAAAAGAACATGTCATCAAAGGTTTGCTTGTATAAAATAATTATTAATACATATTAACGCCATAACTAATAATACACCTATGAAAATGTTTGGCTGCTTGTGCGAATGCTAAATGGCGAGAGCAACGAGCACTGACATCACGACCAATGAGAGCGCGTTCAGGGAATTTTACCCTGGCGCATTAAGGTTGTTTTATTATTCGGGGAATATTATTAATACTATTTTTACATTTTAACTGAGGTTAAGTTAATTATTCTCGAGTCCCTTCCAGATTAGCAACGTCGTAGTATCAATCTACAATCGAATCAGGTTTCCGAATAAATCAAAAATATTTACTTTCACGGAACATATTGTATTTTCAACGGATTATACAAAATGACGAGTAAATAATTGGATTAGTATTAAAAAAAAACAGCTGAACAGAACATAGTGACATTTATTGTTACAATTACGGTTATGGTAACGTTATATAGAATTTTCGGTCATTTCCGGAATTTTACCGCACGGGTTTGAGAACAATCGGATGTTTTCGGAAATATTTCCCACGATTTGAATTTTGGCGTGTTTCAATTCTAACGATCATGTCTGTGAATGTATTCGAGTTGTTTTGCGAAAATGTAACCAATAACTAACGGTCGTAGAAAAAGTATAGTATGCAACACGTTCGGTAAACTTTTTAAGTCACTCGTTTACCATATACTATGTCGGATTTAATCGGAATTGAGATAATCAACTGTTTTTTCTGCATTCGTCATCATTGTCAAAATTGGTACAGCGTGTAAATCTTCTACTGACTGATTTGACAATCTACTAAATTTCTAAACATTAGGCCCGATGCTACAATTTGCTTAAAAATCTTACCTGTACTTGTAGGTAACTGTTTCCCAATCGATTAGAAAATGTCCTCTGGCCGTGACCCTCATATTCCCGTACGTTTTCACCATACCGAATAAAGCGTACTTCTCCTTTCTGGACCAAAACATCCTAACCCTTTAAATAAGCACATCAGCGTTAGGTTAAATCGAAAGTGGTCACACAATAACACCGAATTAATACCTTTTTTCAGCAGGTTCCTTTGCGACTGCGTCGCTTATGATAACGCAACTGCACATATTTTCCTGCGAAAGCAAAAACAAAATACGGTAAATCGATTGCACATAACAAATTCCATTTATATTACTAAGTGTTGGTTATTTCCAAAACAATCAAAAATTTTCAACATTGAACGAAACAACTGGTTGGCAACATCGCATTACGCTTGTGTTGGCAACAGACTTACGCTCGCGGTCACTGTCGGCAACGTTGCCAACATTCAAATTTTTGACGTTGACAATTATATTTCACTTTCAGTATAAACGGAGTTATAAATGTATTTGTTTGTGATATTCAGTTTTCTTTTTAATTTAAAACGATGAATTGATGAGTAACGATTTCATGGTTTATGAACCAACTAAGAAGCTACATACGGTCGAAACGCTATGTGACGAAATTGAAGAGACTGATTGTTTGTTTCGCAAGGCACGTTTCTGTAGATATAGTGAAATTCGCAGTAATTTATGTCTGGATGTCGATAATGTTCGGATATTCAACGCACCGCTTTACGATTGTCACTGAGCAAGTGATACCAGAAAACTTGCGAAAAGAAGTCCAGTATTTCATTAAAGAAGAGGAGATAACAAGAGATGACAGTTCTTCAGATGCCATGATTTAATTTCTGGATAATGCATTTTTACCTAATGCCAGGTACACATAACGACTAATTTTTATTCTGTTAAAACGAATTTATTTTCCTTTTAATCACGAATGACAATATTTCCAACGGGTCCAATGAAGCTTGCCAGTGTGCAGTGTTGCCTCGGTAACGGCGCGGTACCTCTCGAATGTTAATATACTATATTTTTAATGTAAGAGAGTAATAAAATATTAATTTGCAACTACAGAAATCATTAAGCAGTTTAAAGGTTATATAGTAAATAGTTATATAGTAAATAGTACACTCTTGTGGTATTGTAAGGGAAAATATTCATCTTGTATATATTCATTGTTTTTATTACTAGGGAAGATCGTTCCATCTTTCCTCATGCAATTAAGTACTGAAAATGGTGAAACCGACATTGCGTTTTAAATTGTGGCGAATGTTCTACACCAATGCTATACTTTTCGTTAGTATATTCGCAACAGTCACAATTTTTGACGGTACTGTAGAATGTTTGTTTATGGCTCAATTTTGATAATTCTTTTTTGCTGGATAGATCTTAAGCTTTTTTACTGACACAGTTTTTTAGAGATTTTTTTAAATTGAAAATAACAACAGATTCGTATTCAGGACCTAGAAGTAAATAATTAACGAGTGAATTTGACAGTCGAATAATCGCTTCTCCATGGCAAACTTGGTTTTACAAAGGAAACAGTATGCCAACGTCAATCAATTTTGATATTTCTGGTATTTTCATTATTAGATAAGAATTAAACATCCTTTTTAATTAGTTCTGAATAAGAATTGACAGAAATCCCTGCTAGCCACCACCCTCGATAATTGACATAAAAAAATAGTCTCAATTGGCTATGACCTCAAGCTGATGTAATTAGAAATATAGGGTTTTAGTTCGTCTTTGAGAGATCTATTCAACAAAAAAAATTATTGTATTGAAACATTATCAAAATTGGTATAGGTGGGTTCTAAGTAGTCCCCAAAAAATCTCTAACAATATTTCCCTCTTCTCTCTCTTTTGTTAAATAGTCTCAGTTAGCCATGACTTTAACCTGAAGCAATAAGCAAAACAAGGTTTTAGTGCGTTTTTCAAAAAAAATATCAAAATCGAACTATAAACAAAGATTTTACAATCATAATCATAATAATCACCTGATTCTCGCAATCTCTCTTGTTTATTACATCTACGGTCTCTAAACTACATCGATTAGTATCAAATGAAGCATTACCTGGTAATTGTTGCTGACGTCTTTTTTCCAACCTAAACAAACGCGGCAAATGAACCTGGGAAGCTTTTTACTAGGCACAGCGGAAGCCTTGAGCCTTTTTCTCTTGTTTTCGTCCACAAAAAAGTCTTCCACCTGCAATGTGGCGAAAAAACAAGGCAATTTTATCTGTTTGGTTGACAATGTTCTCAAAAACAATAAACATAAACAAGTTCGTCGCGATGACAACCAAACGCCGCGATCGAGGTCATCCCAGGTTTTGAATGTGAATTAAAAAATAAGATAAAAACATAATTTTATTAATCAAAACAATATAGACAAAAAGAAGTCAAATCTTAGGCAAGAGTCGCATAGAACTGAAAATGGGCAGAGACGTGAACATGAAATATCAAAAATTCCATACGAAAAAAAGTTTTATCATGGAACTAGCTCAGACAAAAGTTATAGATCATACAATTCTCTATACTTTTTGTCTCACGACTCACCATTCTTGAGATATCGCGGTTTCAAGTATTAGAAAATTCATATTTTACATAATAAACGTACATTTCGCACCACCTATCATGTAATGCTCATTTTTTTGACGTGGTTCATCACATCGTAGTGATTGACAGTGCAATAGGTTGTTTTCGATCTAAATGTTGTTACAATAGATAATTGTCTACTTTTACTTCAACAATTATTTCTTCATCTTCATTTTCTTCTTCTTCGGATGCATCAATTGTTTCTTCATTAGAATCATAAATAATTTCTTCTGTTGAACTTGATGCAATATTGGAGCCCTGACAATTAATGCACACTGGCGACAAAATAATCCCACTTGCCAAAAGCCACATTTGAACTTGATGATACACACGATACAAATTCAGACAGTCAGAAGCAGATATTGGAGGTAGACAAGACAAGTGTACTATTTTATAGTTAAAAACTGTACTGTACTGTTTATTGTTACAAACTTTAAATATTTGTATTTATCTATCTTTTTTTTTTCAGTTTATCTCGTTGACACAGCGTATAGTTGAAACCGCGATATCTCACGAATGGTGAGTGATAAGAAAAAAGTGCCCGAACAATTTTTGTAGAGAATTGAATAATCTACAGCTTTTGGCAGGCCCATTTTCAGGATGAAACTTACCGTGTTCGAGAAGAATGGAAGAAACCACAGTTTTGCAAGTTTGGCCATGAATAAAATTTTTAGCACAAGTCGAATCGAAGGGGATTTTTCGAATTTTGGATTAGGTGAAATATTTTTTACAACTTTACAACTAACCAAAACTAACTCAACAACAAGGCATCGATGAACTTAATTTGAGTTAATTAATTGAAGTTAAAGCACCATCTAGGGCTACTGTTTATCGCTGTGGTTGTGTGGTTGTCCAAGAAAACGTTGACAAGTACCGAAACTGATTTTGCAGAATCGTCATGTGACTTACCATGTGACTAAGGTATCTTTGGGTATAAGCGTGAACATTTTGACGTTAAAAAAATTTGTTCGCGTTGGATTCCACACAATTTGACATTAGCTCAGAAGAAGAGTCGTGTTGATACGATAGCGGGGCTTCCAAGCACGTCTATGATGATATCGTGACAGGTGATGAATCATGGATCTATGCATGATAAGCAGCAGTCGATTGTGTGTTTTTTTTTCCTGAATGAGACAAAGCCAACACGTGCACGAAGCACCTCGAAACAAATGGTAGTGAGTTTGGCCACGTTGCACCTGTTTCATTGTTTTTTTTTGGCCTAAGACGAATCACTCTCCACGACAACGCTCTCACCGAACAAACAAACAACTTTTTGAGCATTAAAAACGTCGATTTGATGAGCCATTCACCATATAGTCCTAATGAGTTCTTTTTATTTCCATACATTAAGTGGGCAACGATTCTTGATCCCAGAAGGTCGACTGATGCATTTAAAAAGCATGTTTTGGAGGTGAACGAATCGACGTGGGAAAAGTGCTTCGATGAGTGATTTTATCGAATGCAAAAGTGTATTGATCATCAGGGTGAATATTTTGAGAAACAATGAAGTCACATTTGTTGGTAGCTTACAGTTTTTTATTACAAATCCCGAAATTCAAAAGGTGGCCCTCGCTGGCAAATAAGCAAATCTATAATAATTAATCTCACCCGAAAGTGTTCTTCGCAAACTTTCAGCTCGGCGCTGTCGCGCACCAAAATGGCGTTTAACCATTTCAGCTTGGTTGCGCAATCCGCCGGCAGTCCGAAGAATTCTTTGACGCATTCGTTTCCCGCGACAAACGCGCTCGTACACTCGGGAACGAAACATTTCTTAGTCAGCCAGTAAAATTTCATTTTGGTTAGTTTATGGCTGATATCTGTATTCTGAAAAAAAAAAGAAATACATATATAAATATACAAAATAAATAAATATATACAAATAAATATTCAGTTCCATACCCAAAGGAATAATTACTTTATTTTTGGGAAGTAACTGAGTAAATTTAAGAAAATATCCTTATGTAAAATAAATAATTATACCATCCATGCCACTTGAGATATTTTCGGACTAATACGGCACGGTTTGAATTTTGACGATTGTCAATTCTGACGGTGATGTCAGCGAATGTATTCGTGTTGTTTTGCGAAAATGTAAACAAAAAAAAAGTACAGTATGCAACACGTTTGTAAAACTTTTAAAGTCGCTCGTTTATTAAACACTCGCTCCGCTCGTGCCGAATAAACTCGTCAGTCAAATGCCGTCCATTTTAAAAATAACATCACTTCGGATATTTTAATGAAATTTGGTACACATGTACTATGTATCAAGAGGCATTATTTAATGTACAACAATTTTTTTTAAATACGCCAGCGGCACGCGTATGGAATTTTACCTGCCTATTTCGGCAGACATTGGTAGCACGCCTCTGATTTCTCTTAACCCATTATCCCAAGCATAAAAAAAAATACTTTTTTGCTCTGAAATTATTTATTTTGTTGCACTTAATACATTACATATGTCAAAAATAAAAATAAAAACTCGAAAAAAATACTGGTTCGTAAACGGGAAAGAACGTTAAATAATGTTTTGGGGCACATAATTAATACATAAATATACAAAAGAAAGTTCAAATTTGACAGGGGGGGTGCGGGGTGAGAAATTTTTGAGAGCCGAAAAAAGCGACCGCCGCCGATGTCTCGCAGGCGGGATTCGAACCTCGAACCTTCGGAGATAAACGCCGCCGCCGACGCGCGCTGTTCCCCTAGCGTAACTGGGCCGGCACGTTATCGCGTCGTGTATGCGCGCTGGTCGATATAATTAAATAAGTGTGCACCGATAAAATTGATGATTTATTTAAAACATTTACATTGATAAGTTTGAATAGAAAACAAATTAATATCTAAAAAGGTTGTCGAGGTGAATGCAATTAAATAAATGTGCACCGATAAAATTGATGATTTATTTAAAACATTTACATTGATAAGTTTGAATAGAAAACAAAATAATATCTAAAAAGGTTGTCGAGGTGAATACAATTAAATAAATGTGCACCGATAAAATTGATGATTTATTGAAAACATTTACAAAGTATTGACATCCGATATAAATTTGCTAAACACCACAACGTATTTCTTCTTCTTCTTCTATAGGGTATGTTCTAAATCCTTGTTTTTTTGGCCGCTGGTGGTGGTGACGACGACGACGACGACGACGACGATGATGGAATAACTTCGTCGCAATATAAACTTATATTGTTCGAACGACTTGTTGATTGCGAACAATATTTTATATTACATATTGGATGATTTTTTATGGATTCTTCACAAAAGCAAAAAGATTTGTTACAGCTATTACAGTACTTGGTACCGTTATAGTAGTAGACTTTGGAGTTTTCCGAAACATCTTGTTTCACTTTTTTTTCGGTTGTTGTTACGTAACGATCACTATTCATGGCTGCTGCTGCTTCGTACTTGACTAAACACTTTAACGCAAATTTTCAGTGACTCGACGTTAGAATGCTGCGAAAAAAATTGTATTAAATTATGACTACAGGAAACAAATAGGTTCTTACCTTTTAATAATGTCTTATTTAAAATTGTTGAGTTTTTGCTGCTTATGAAATTGTATTAATTAAAACAAGTGAATATTTTTTTAACATAAAATTTATTTTGTTTTATATCCCCAAGGCAATGTATCAGTAAATATATAATTAACCACTCTCTTATCATCGAACGGTGTTAAAACAATTCTCCTTTGGTTTACCGTAAAAACTTCATGGTTTTTACTACGAAACAGATGTTCGTTGGTATACATTTGAGTTTTATCAAACAGACAATTATAATAGTCTTCAAAAGTGATTGTTTTTAATGAGGAACCGGTAATACCTTTGGCTTTTTTAATAGTTTCGACTTCTTTTTTGTTAGAAGATTTTTCTCGTTCTACATTTGAATAATATAATTTGATCGCGTACATTTTAGATTTTAATCCGATAAATTCGTGCATAATTCTACCGTTGTTTTCGTCTTTCATCAATCCCAAAACTTTTTTATTAGCCAAAGGAATGTTATAAATGTTATCGGGAGGATAATCAGAAGTGTCAAATTTATGAATATCATCTCGAATACATTTATAAATATCGTCAACGTAAAAATTATATATTAACGAATCTGTATCTGAATACAAGAGTTTTACATCCTTGCCGAATTTTGGTATAATATAATGATAATGAAAATCGTATAAAAATGTTTTTGAAATTTCTAAAATACTAAAACCAGCGTAAATGGGTTTATTAAATTTAATATTCAATCTCTTCATTTCAATGATAACCATGTCATTGTCGAAAATTGTTAAGCTATGAAAATTTGGTTTTGAAATATAACTCTTTGCACCGTATCGTCCCGACCAACTTGTTACCAGTTTAACGTCTTTATATTTCCGAACGTTTTCCATAGTCTTGCCGAAAACGGCATTATTCATTAATTTAAAAAAAAAAATTCGAATTCGTTTTTGCTTTGCTGCCTCAAGTGTGTGTTTAGGTCAATGTAGGTTTTCAACCATGGAGATTGGTTAAATTGTAATATTTTATGAATTTTTGTAACACGTAAACCTAACTGAAGCGCCTGTTTGAGATTCTTATAATGTATTACGTAGTTTTTTTTATCAAACAATGTTGTCAATAATTTCGGCTGTTTTGTTTGACCCGTTGGTGGAATCAAACGTTCCGGACATAGAGGTAGATCTTTGTGGATATCGTGAAGTATTGTAGGATATTCTATATCTACTTCAAGAAGATACGCAACGTCAGAATCGTCCGACGTGTTTATGATAGAATAAAATGCGTTATTATAGATCCATTGGAACCCACCCGTCGGTAGTGGTAGTCTCATTGCCGTTCTATATAGGTTATTTACATCGAAATACATTAAATATGATGAAGGAATGTCTGGATTATAATCGTTTTCCATGTATTTATTGTTAGCCTTACCGTATCGGTTACTGCATTGTGAAATTCCACCGCGTATTCCTTTTTCGATCATCATTAATTGATCGATGTCCGTAATTAATTCTAGTTACACATTTGGAATGAGAAGACATCGTTTTGGACGATTCAAAAAGTTATGCGATCGGATTAATCGACTTTGTTACTTTCAATACAATTCCCAATGTAGACAATTCCAACAATAAATTTTATATCGAAAGTCAAGTTATTGCCGTACCCGAAGGTAGTTATGAAATTAACGACATTGAAAAGTTTATAATGGTGAAGATTACGGAGAAAAACGAAACATTGAAAAAAGAAAAACAAAAGAAACAACAAAAAACAAATGTGATTGAAAAGGAGTTGTCGATGAATGACGAAATCGTTTTATTTATGAGGGCCAATCTTAATACACTAAAATACGAAATCAAATCCAACGAGACGATACATTTTGAAAAAGGTGATTCGATTGCAAAATTGTTGGGATTCAAAAATAGAAAACAGTCTGCCAATCAATTACACATATCCGAATTTCCGATAAATATTTCGAAAGTAAATTCTGTTTGTGTAGAATGTAATTTGATAAAGAATTGTTATAATAATAATAACTCGGTACATATACTACACATGTTTTATCCTAGTGTGCCGAGCGGATTTCGTATAATCGAAAAAGTGTCAAATGTTATATATTTACCTATAAATTCTAATTACATTGACGAAATTATCCTTAAAATAGTGGATCAAGACGGTAATTTGATTAATTTTCAAAGAGAAACGATAACAATAAGAATACATTTAAAGGAAGTGGTGTCATAAAAAATGGTGCTCCTCTATAACCTCAACATTCCAAATGGCGTTTTGACGTCGTCGAATATAAAAGAAAATACGGATCTACATAGAGTTAATCATAGTCGATCGTTGAAACCGTTAACAGTCGAAAATTCCGAATTTCTTCGCCATCTGGGATTAACATTGAAGGGAAAAAACAAAAAGAAAAACGGCGTGTAAATTCCTCCTAAATATAACATTAACAATCCGTTCGGGTATACGAAGACTTATTGTCTTTTGCAAGTGTTTTGGAAGTTACTACAACCAGAAGAAGAAGAAGAAGAACAAAGAAGATGAGTTTTAATATTCTGAACGTAGGTGAACAAGCATTTATGGACAATTCTATTATTAATTACGAGTTACATAGCTACACTCCATACGCAAAAACGACATTAAATAATTCGGTTGAAATACGGATTCCTATACAGGCTCAAGACGTTTACACTTTACCGACCAATAGTTACATGTATTTCGAAGGACGAATTGTCGACAGCGAAAAAAAAGTAAGCACGACTCTTAAACCGATCAATAATTTTTTTAGCGTTTCTTTTCGATGAAATTCGTTATGAAATTGGAGGGATCGTTATAGACAGAGTTAGAAATCCTGGAATTACAACTACTCTCAAAGGATTGGCATCTTTCACAAAAAATGAATGTGATCGATACGAACATGCCGGTTGGAATCACTTGCAAAATCCCGAAATAACAAACAAAGATGGATATTTCAATGTAAACGTTCCTCTTAAAAATTTAATGGGATTTTTTAAAGATTTCAAAAAAATTCTAATCAATATGAGACAAGAATTGGTTTTAATTCGAAGCTCCAACGATAATAACGCCGTCATATCTACGAAAGAAAACGAAAAACCCAAAATAGAATTATATAAAGCGATATGGAGAATACCGCACATACAAGTAGCAGATGTGGAAAAGCTACGACTTCTCAAGTATATAGAGAAAGGACGAGAATTAGAATTGGCTTTTAGAAGTTGGGAATTGCACGAATATCCATTGTTACAGGAAACGACTAAACACACGTGGAACGTTAAAGCCACAAATCAACTTGAAAAAACTCGA